GAGGACGCCCCAAGCGAGAACGCGATTCTGCAATAAACTGTCAGGAAGTATCAGGCGGGAGCCGCGATTCGGTGGTAAATTGCCAGGGAAATCCAAGCGAGAACGCGATTCTTCAATAAATTGTAAGGAAATATCAGGCGGGAGCCGTTGTTGTTGTAAACCGGGGGCCAACGACACAGTTTGACCCTCAAGATTCTCCCTGCTTAAAAAAGGTGCCCCGGGAGGTGCACTTCTATCGAAAAAAATAGAATGTGCATCTGGCGGGGGGGATCAACAACAATTGTTCTTCATAGGTGAAAGTTCAATAACAACAGCAACAACAACAACAACGACAACAGCAACAGCAACAGCGACAGCAACAGCAGCAACAAAAACAGCGGCAGCAACAACAGCAACAACAGCAACCACAACTACAACGACAACCACAACCACAACCATAACCCCACAACAACAATAGCAGCAACAATAAAAAAACGACAACAGCGTAAGCAGCAGCAACAACAGCAGCAGCAACAACAACATCACCAATAATGTTAAGACTGTTCGCTCGCACATGCCCGCATGGCATTCAACACGAATATCACGAACACTCGGTACCCGCCCTGTTCGTGTTCGATCGTACCCATCTTCCTGATCTGCCACGTGCATTTAGCGCAGCCCCGAAAACAGGGGAATAGAGGACGGATGGAAGGGGGAGGGAGAAGGATGGAGCACGAGAGAGATTAGCAGGAGGGGGGCTAGGACCAGAAAACACAGGGCAAAACCAGACGGGCAAATCGGGCGGGTAGACCCTGATGGGCGGGTCGGGAAGGCGGGCCCAGGCGGCCAGGTCGAGCAGGCGGGTTGCCGAAGCGTGAGATCGAATCGCGAGGAAATCTCGAGCGATAGCGCGATTCGCAAATAAATCGTGAGAAAGGCCGGAGCAACAGGTGATTCCTAAGAGTTGGAGGCGCGACATCTGAACAAACTGCGAGGAAGTCCCACGTGAGAACGCGATTCCTGCGTAAACTGTGATGATTCCGTGCGAGAGCGCAAGTGTGAAATACATAGAGAAGAAGTATCAGGCGGGAGCCGTTGTTGTTGTAACTCGGGGGCCAAGGGCCCCCTTTGGCGACACCAAGCTGTCCCTTGTAAAAAAACAAGGTGCGAGCACCAGGAGGAGCACTTTAATGAAAAAATACAATGGTTACTGGAGGGTGGATCAACAATAATTAACCTTGAAAACTGAAAACTCAACAATAGCAGCAACAACAACAACAACAACAACTATCATTGTAAGACTGTTCGCTCTTATCTGATCGCGTGCCATTCATCAAGTATATCCCAAGCCATCGATACCCGCCCTCATCGTCGTCGATCGTACCCTCTTAGAGGTATCTCTTTCTTACCTGCAACGTGTATTTCGTGCAGCCCCCAAGGCAGGGGAAGAGAGGACGCATGGAAGGAAGGGACAAGGGGCAGGCGGGTTGCTGAAGCGTGCGTCCTACATGAATCGCGAGGATGTCTCCAGCGATAGCGCGACTCACCAACAAGTTGTGAGAAAGGCCAGAGCTAGAGCATGATTCCTGAGTTCCGAGGGCGCTGCGTCTGAATAAATTGCGAGGAAGTCCAACGCGAGAGCGTGATTCCTGCATATAGATTGTGAGGAGGTCCCGCGCGAGAGCACCATCTTGGAATAATGTGTGAGGAAGTATCAGGCGGGAGCCGTTGTTGTTGTAACTCGGGGGCCAGGGGCCCAGTTTGGTGTCACCAAGCTTTCCCTGATAACAAACAGGGTGCGAGTCCCGAGGGGGGCGCTTCAATTGAAAAATTCACACTGGTTATTAAAGGGGGGATCAACAATAACTTTTAGATCTGAAAGCTCACCAACAACAACAGAAACTTCCCGAATCCAGAATCACGAACCTGCCCGCTCTTCCTGCTGGCCCGGACCAGTGCTGGGGCACCTCAGCCCTGTGCCCCGCGGTGGAAGACCAGCTCGGTGGGCGCGCCAGGGTCTTGCCGGGCGTGCACAAGGGCGGGGCCAGCGAGGGCCTGGGCCAGATGGCCACGGACAGCGGTGGAGGAGCGAGGCCTGGAGTTCGGCCCTCGGCCCCAGAGGGCTCGCGTCGGCCTCCAGCGGGTCGAGCGAGTCCAGGGGCAGCTCGCGGGTACATGCTGACACGGGCTGCGTCTCCGTGGATCTGGCGCGTGGGCGGCAGGATCCACGGATCTGGGAGAGCATCCCCCGAAGCGTGAGGCCTGTGCCGCCTGATTTGGCGGCGGAGCGCGCGGATTCTGCAAGGAAACGGGACCCGGGACCCGACGCTGATCCACGCGCCTTAATCCATGCTTACGCTTCCTCGAAACTCACCCTCTCCCTGGCATCCAAACAACGTCCGCCTCGCGGTCATGCGGACATGTGCGCTTCCAAGACCTCCGCAAGCACGACCGAGCGATTCAAGAAAAAGACGTATACATGAACAACGCTCAGCATCGCAATCATGTCCACGTAAACAACCGGTGCAAGCCAAGTTTGTTCCCGAAACTGGAATGGCCAAACACACACACACACACACACACACACACACACACACACACGCACACACACACACTTTTGCGCCCTTGAGACATGAAAGCAACGAACGTGGTTTTATGCATGCGAAAAGCGAGGTGGAGGTGGAGGCAAGCAAGCTAAGACGCCATGCCCATCTAGTCAACAGCCCTTTACGAATCTGAGAGGATCGATTCGATGCCAACATATGACGGATTTGTACGGTACATGCGGCGCAAAATTGGCACCCCGGCGGCACAATATCACAGCAAGCCTGCCGTCAAACAACGGCCTTGTCTCTATATTCCCGAAGCGTACTCATTATGATGGGTTGCTCTGGGAAGCCGCTGCAATTACTCGAAGCGGCCGTACGAACCCACCCACGCGTTCCGTACGAAGTACCCCGCACAAATTCATCGGTACGGCCGTGCAGGCCCGCACACGAGTTGCGCGCAGAGTTCCGCACGAATCCGACGGCACGGGCATCGCATCTGGCCCCGCCCATTGCTTGCGCACGAGGTGCCGCACAAAGGAGGGCCTTGGAGCCCCTCGGAAGAGAGGAGGAAAGAGGGTGAAGGGGGAGGGGAATCAGGGGGGTGCTGAAGTTTGTACATAGCCTTTGGACGTGTTCAGACACCTAGAGGGGGGCGAGGAGTCCCGGGTCGGCGAATGCATGCCGTTAGAGCCAGGTTTTGCGCGGCGTATGCGCGGCGTAGACTTCCACGAGGGAGTCTCAACGCACCCAGCCTGCGCGCGGCGGCCCGCGGCTGTAATCGCGCGGCCGTCCACACGGATGTGGGTCGAGCCGGCTCTTTGGGACAGCTTGACGCGCCCGCTGTCGCGAGCCAGGAGGAAGCACATTCAACCCGTAGAATAAGGACGGACGGTAAGGACGCAGGGGCCTTGGAAGGCCATGTCGGCACTTTGCGAGCGGGGCGCGGCCAGCGAAAGCGGCCGAGGATGGGCCGAAGGGGAAGCATGCCAGCGTAACCTGTGAAAGTCGCTCATCCTTACTATGCGGGTTGGCTGCCACTCGGCGGAGGCCAGAAGGGCGGATAGCCCAACTGCGTGGACCGTCGGCGCCCCTGGATACATGCCATGCTCCCCCTTTGGGTTCTCCGCCCCTCTTGCCCCCGCCGAGAATATCCGCCGAGACCAGCCCAGGATACCGGCCCAGCACGCGCTCCGCCAGCATCGGATGGGGCGGGCAGGCAGCGCTATCAGATCTGTACGTGAGCCCAGGACCACCGCGATGCTGAACGACTGCCGTCACGAGCATTCGGGCGTGCTGTGACTTTCAATTCTCGCAATGAAGGAAGCACTCTCTGGCCCAATCGGGGCAGGTCGCGGCGACCCTTCCGGAGCACGTCTGACCGTTGCTGCAGGCTCCAGTCACCGTGTCCCCGTCGGGCCCGAAAGTGCCGCACACCTTCCGGCAGAAGCTGGGAGTGCCGGACGGATCGCTGTCTGCAGGTGGCACACACTGGAGTCCAACCGCGCAGTCGGTGTAGAAGAAGCCGTCCGAGCCTGCCCTGCCACACTTTTCTCCCTCCCTCCTGAAAGGCTCGTCAGCGCAGTACAGGTAGCACTCGCCAGCCCACAACGGGCAGGGCGACATGGATCTGCCGGAGCACGTCTGCCCTGTGCTGCAGGTGCTCGTCACCTTCGAGAAGGGGATCGACTACAGAATTGATTTACCCACATTAGATTTCCCCATCGAATCTATGACGCAAACGTAGAAAGTGTTCGCAAATTGACTGGAAATTCTAAAAACTTGTCCGCAGATTCGACGAGAAAACTGATTTTGCGGTACATCAATTCTGTAGTCGATCCCCCACTCGACACCTCGTCCCCTCTGGGCCCGATGCTGCCACACACCTTGCGGCAGGTGCTGGGAGCACCTGCGACTTGGCCCGTCGGGGGCACACACTCGAGTCCAACGTCGCACCCGCTGTAGAAGTAGCCGTCCGAGCCATACCTGCCGCACAGCTCCCCCTCCTGCTTGACCGGCTCCTCAGTACAATACAGCAGGCACTCGAAGTCCTGGCTCGGGCAGATCGCGCGCTGCCTGCCCAGACATGCCTGGCCATTGCTGCACAGGCTGGTCACCTTGACTCCCTGGGGCCCGAAGCGGCCGCAGATCTCGCGGCAGACGTTGGGAGAGCCGCGCGGCGCGAAGTCCATCGGCGGCACGCACTCGAGTCCGACGTCGCAGTCGCTGTAGAAGTGTCCGTCAGCACCCCGTCTGCCGCACTCCTCCAGAGGAACAAGACGGCATAGATATAAACTTCCGGAGGTCCGCACGGACTTCTTGGACCTGCGCTGAAATCACCCCTCTTGCGCGCGGAGCGCGCCAGGGGCGGCGCTGGAGGCGCCGCCAGGGCGGTCCAACACAACTCCAACAAATGCTCGCGGATCTCCGAGAAAGTATGGTTATGCCCTTTTTGTTGTTCTTCGATCCTCCCCCACCTGCTTGGCACGCACATCGGCGGGGAAGGCTCAGCAAACTCCAGGGAAGGCTTAGAAATCTCAGAAGGCCGGAGGCCTTCCGAGCTTTCTGAGGAGGCCCGCCCCCTCCGCCTTCCCCCCCTCTGGGGCTGGCCGCCGACCACCTGCTTGGCACGCACGTCGGCGCAGTACAGGTAGCACTGCTCGGTCGAGTCCAAGCAGGGTGTGGCAGGCCTGCCGGAGCACGTCTGGCCATAAGGGCAGAGGCTCCTTACGCTGTCCCCGCGGGGCCCGAAGGTGCCGCACACCTTCCAGGGGATCTCAATCCTCGACCTCACTACCTGAGAGGCTCCCAGGAGGTCCAAACTTTCCTCCCCAGAGGCCCCTCAGAGCCTTCCCAAGAGACCCCAAGAAGCATCCCTGAGGACTCTGAACCCCACGTCAGCGTCGTCGTCGTCGCCGCCGCCGCCGCCTTTGTTGTCGTCGCCCCCTTTCAAGGTCGGCGGCACCAGCCGCAGACCTTCGCAATCCTCGATCACTACTTTCTGTACCCTCCCTTCCGCCGACACTAAATGCACTTATGGGGTGCGCACTTGTTCTTCCAAGCCCCACGAGGCACTCGAGTACCCCGCAAGAGCGAATACGATAGTGCCCTCGACCTCCCTCTCCCTATCAAGAGCGATCGGAAGTTCAACACAGTGAACGAAACCAACATGGCCTCGAGCTTACTTTAACATGCATACACTATAAAAACTAATGTCCACAATCCTAGTCCACCCACGGCAACTTCACCCTTGAAACAGCATTAGCATGTTGACCTCGAACTCGGTCATCCTAAAGGCGCACACCCTTCAGGGGAGCCCCGAAGGAGGTGCTTCGTGTCATCGTCCTGTCGTCTCGGGTGCACCAGGGCGGCCATAGTGCAAGAGGAGGAGGAAAACAAGGAGGAGGACAAGAAACAGGAGGAAAAAAACATCAGGGGAAGCGTCTGTCCCACACCGCCAGGAAGCGGAGAGAAAAAGACAGATATAATAACACAAGCGTACAAAGAAGAACAAGTAACTACATGCATATGTGTATATGTATAGCGTTCACAATATGACACAATAAACTACACTAAAATGACATGGAGTACATCTTGGTATAAAAGACAATGTAGTACTGCAGTTGCTTAACACATCCCATGTTATAGTATAGTGTGTTATACTACAATGTATGGCACTACAGATTTAACATAAACAAATTACAGTGTATGATGTTGTATTAGATTATAGTTCAGTGTACGATGGTATACCATACCATGGCATAATATAGTGTGTCATATTATGTTATGCGTGTGGTAATATGTCGTTTTACAATACAGGATACTGCATTGTATTATATAGCAACGTACACAATATGGTGTTACATTGCGTCATTGTATACTGCGTGTTGCTATGCGAGGTTAAGCTATACGATAATATACTGACTAATTCATAGAAGGTTCAATCATATTACCTTAGACTATACCAGTGCACATGATATTATGATTAACGATACGTTATCCTTCGATTACAAAAAACTGATGCGCTGCATTAGAATATGACAGATTAGCGAATACCATATGGAAGCATGATATATATATATATATATAGCAAAATGTATTAGCTTATGTTGTGTTGTAGTAAATTACATTATGGTATACTGCACAAAACCATGTCATATAATGTTATACCATGGTATGGTACACTATACTGTACTATACTACATTATGTTATCCCATATTATATGTCATGATGATGTACTGCATTATACTAAATTATGTGATGGTAAAGAGAGAGAGAGAGAGAGAGAGAGAGAGAGAGAGAGAGAGCGAGAGAGAGAGAGAGAAAAAAAAAATGTGTTTGTGTGTTTGCCTGCCATTGCTTGCCATTGCTTGAACCCTTGGCATCGCGTGGCATGGGGACTTCGTTGCATGGCTCGGCATTGCTTGCCATTACTTGACAACCCGGGGAACGCCCCCTCAAAAACCGAAGGGAAAGAAGACCGTAAGAACCTTGGAACCTGGGCAACCCGAGGAAGACCGGCCTTTTCAAAAATAGTGAGGAAACAGAACCAAAGGAACCCAGGGAACCCGAGGAAGGCTGGTCAGCGCAGGCCCATTTTACACGCTGTTCAACAGCAAAGCAGGACCTCTCGAGGCAAGCCTAACTGTGGAGGAAGGCCGACGTGGGGAAGAAGACGCCTTGGCTAACACCCAACTCCGTGACGTCTGTGCACCGATGGGAAAGAGTATTGGTCAGGTTGGTCAGGGTTCGGGTTCGAAATCGGATTCGCAGAAATATTTATATCATATCAAGCGGGCGGCATCGTGATGTTCAATTCGTAGTGGGCCCAGATTTTGAAATGTCGTAACATCATTGCAGTGGCATACAAATGTCGTGATAGCATTGGGCGTGCCCTGACTGCACGGTGACGGGGTGTGGACATGATTGTTCCTCACGCTAACGATAAGTTCCCCAAGTAATGTTTGCATTCAGAGTATATATAATTTTTTGTGTCTAAGGAACTGGGCCTGAATATCGCTTTGGCTGCTATGTATTGTCGCCGTCGCCGCCCCGTCGCCGCCTCGTCGCCGCCAGTCGTCCGGGCCTGATTGTCGGTCTGGCGGCTATGTTGTCGCCCCGTCGCCGCCCCGTCGCCGCCCGTCGTCTGGGCGTTAATTGGTCTGGCGGCTTTGTTGTCGCCGTCGCAGCCCCGTCGCCGCCTCGTCGCCGATTGTCGTCTGGGCCTGATTCTTGGTCTGGCGGCTCTGTTGTCGCCGTCGCCGTCGCGATTGCAGGTTCTGTTGTCGCCGTCGCCGCCCCATCGCCGCCTCGTCGCCGCCCCATCGCCGCCTCGTCGCCGCCCATCGTCTAGACCTGATTGTTGGCCAGGCGGTTATGTTCTTGCCGTCGCCGCCACGTCGCGGCCTCGTCGCAATAGAAAAAAATGCACCACATAGATTATACCCAATTGATTATCCGTTTCAAAAGAGATGTGGACCTACCACAACCCCCCCGGGATGATCGACTTCCCCCTCGAATGATATAAATTGCTCACGACTGTGCACCATCGCTCATGCCAAACATGAGCTCCTACAACCCCAGATTAGCAAGTACCGGTCCCGCCCTGGGTGGGATATTTGCGCGAACATTTGGTTGGACAACTCACTGCGAACAGAAAGTACTTGCACCGCATGCATTGCACCACATATAGTTCACAACATGCTTTGTACAACATATACCCCACGGAATGGATTGCACAACGTATATTGCAAGACAAGGGTCGCAAAGAAACGATCGCACAACATAAATCGCGGAACGTATATTGCACCACGTAGACTGCACTATCTAGATTGCGCCACGTACATTGCACAACATTGCACCACACTGATTGCTGAACCTAGGTTGCACACCATACCATGCTAGAAACACATTAAATTTGGCCCCACGCTGGCCAACACGTGTATCTACTAGAGCCTATGGGCAACAAGACTGCACGGAGTTGGGCTGTGGGAAGTATCGCTGCATTCCATGTATATATATATATATATGTATATATATAAGGTTCCCATACAGCCAGGAAGACCATATAACATCAACGACTGCTGCGGTTGACTGGGGCACGCGCCACTCCTATTTGGTTCCAAATGCAGAAAAACAAAGTCAAAGCATGCTGCGGGGGGGCTGAGGTGGGCGCCACCCCGATGGATTTTCACACGGCCACCGAAAGACTAGAAGGAACATGTGGGAGATCGGCATGGGCGCCATGCGCTCTGATTCGAAAAAATGAAAGCGGAGATCACGCGAGGGTGTGGGGGGGCACCATTCCTGGAACCTCTTGAATGTCACGTAGGTACGACTTAAAGACAGTACAGATGTGCGGATACACATTCCTACACATATAAATATTGTGTACACATTGATGCGTCTAAACAAAATGTCCGAAGGCGACTGGGTCGCGCGCAATTTCAAAGGATGGCACACTGAAAATACTTGGAACTGTGGAAATATCAAGAGTCTGCGGGAGGCTGGGATGCGCGCCATTCTTACTGAATTCCCATGGGACAACAGCTGTTGCTACTACGTACTTTGAATGCCACTGCTACTACTGCAGCTACTGGTACTGATACGAGTACTGCTCCCACGCAGATGAGCTGCGACTGCGAATGGTAAAAGTAGTGATGTGTACACTTGATACTGATCCTGCAACTGCTGATGATACTGCTGCTTCTACTACTGGAGCTGTTTCGCTACACTGATCAGAGTGAGGGGGCCGAACGGTCATTCACTGTCCCTGGGTGCGTGGGTGGAAATGAATTCCGCAAAGCAGATTATCATTGATGGTTGCTGCATGTTGTTCGTGTTTGTTGTTGTTGTTGACATTTCCTTGTCTGGAAATAGTTTTTGCTGATATCCGGAAATGGTTCCGCGCGCTCTCGCCTCAACGCCGGCTAAATTTTCTCTGAAAACGATGCTCCCGCGCGAACGCTGGCTTGAGTCTACATGTGGGCCCTTCGAGGCCCAATTACGACGACAACGGCTCCTGCTCGATACTTCCTCACAATTTACCACGAGACACCCTGGCCCGAGAGGCCCCCGAACTCAGGAACAGCGCCTTCGCTCGAAACTTCCTCGCAATTCAATCAAGTTGGCGGAGGCCCAACCACGACGACAAGGGCTCCTGCTCGATACTTCCTCACGATTTACTACGAGAGCCCCTGACCAGGAAGGCCCCCGAACTCAGGAACGGCGCTCTCGCTAGAGACTGTTTCGTAATTCAGGCATGTTGGTGGAGGCCCACGCACGGCGACAAGGGTTCTCGTTTGATATTTCTCCATAGGTATTCCAGAGAGAGTCCTCCGAACTCAGGAACGGCGCTCTCGCTCGAGACTTCCTCGCACTTCAGTAAATGGCCGATAAAGAAAACATTCCCCCCGAAAGGGGGTGCAATCGAAGACGAAGTAGGCGGGTAGCGAGGGATAGGGTATACAGAATGCAAGATACGCGTGCCAGTGAGAGCGGACAGTCATAAAATGATGTTTGTTGTTGTTGTTGATATTGTTGTTGTTGGTGGTGGTTGTTGCTGTTGTTGTTGGTTGTGTTGGTGTTGATGTTGTGTGGCGTCGTCCCCCTCGCGACCCGCCTCGCGACCCACCCGCGACCCACTCGCGAACCATCCGCGACCCACCCGCGACCCACCCCGCGACCCACCCGCTACCCACCCGCGACCCGCCCCGCGACCCGCCCGCGACCCACCCCGCGACCCGCCCGCGACCCACCCGCGACCCACCCGCGACGCACTTGCGACCCACCCGCGACCTGGCCCGCGACCCACCCGCGACCCACCCGCGACCCACCTGCGACCCACCCACATTGCTTTAACAACCAAATCGGCGCCTGCGGTGGGTTCGTTGTATAACTTATAGGTTGGTTGGGAAAAACTGAATATACGAGGAAAGAAAGATAGAATGCCTTTCGACAAATGCTCGGAGAGTTGATCATCGAACCGGAGCTGGACCGCTGCGGCACGCACTCGAAGCCAACGCCGCAGTGCCCATAGAACAGGTCACCAGAGGTGCTGCTGCCGCAGTACTGCCCCTCCAGCTTGTAAGGCCAATCTGTGCAATACAACTGGCATTCGGTAGCCCACTCCGGGCAGGAGGGGAAGGCCGTCCTGCGGGCGCACTGTAATACCCCAACCCCAGACACACCCTGGACAATCCCAGTGTAGTACTCCCTGCAGGAGTCAGTGCACATCAATACAATCCTCCCTGCGGGAGTCAGCACTCTAGAAATGCTCCATGCCGGAGGCAATGCAATGCATGAGGGCACTCCCTGCGGTAGGACATGCACTACATTACGATTCATTACGATGTTCCCTGGAGAGATCCCAGATGCACTTCAAAACAATTTACTACATCATGGACCAGCCTTCGGTCAATCACGAGGTAAGGGGAAATGGGCACTGCTTTCGGAGTTCGATGGCTTCGCGTTGGATGCAGCTTTCGGCGCTCGAACTAGGTACTGATTCATCGATGTACGATTTATGTCCGATATATTTGCACATCAATGCCATCTCTTAGAGACTGTACATACTCACGGTGTGCATGCCTGACGGTTAACATACATGTGTACATGTATTGCCGTATATTGGCGTATATACGGAGTGCATAACCATTCAACGAGTAGCCAGAGTACACGTACACACACACACTCTACATCATCGAGTGTTTAACCATTCAGCGATGTAGTATGTGTGCGCATATATACATATATACACACACGTACATAAAGCTAGATCTGTATGTGCACATATTTATATACAGATCAGCCGTGCCCTGAGGCACGAGTTGGAGTATCCTCAGGTCCTTGGCCGAATTCCGTAAGCCTGTCCTCAATCCTGAAGATTATTTAGGCGGCTCGGACAACGAACTCGTAAATCTCCTGGGGCTTCCCGCGTTCCTCCCGTGTACTGTCCCACGACATGTTTCGGGCCAAGAGGGCCTCGAGACGGGCCAAGAGCGCCCCAAGAGGCCCCCAAGACGGTCCGAGAGGGCCCCGAATGGCCGAACCGATCGGCCCAAGACGCCCAACATGGCCTGAAGATGGATGAAGTGGCGCCCAAGACGCCACAAAAGAGGCCAAAGAGGCCTTCAAGACAGCCCCAAGAGGGCCCCAAGATGGTCCAGGAGATCTCCAAGACGCCCAAGATGCTCTCGAAGACGGCCCTGCAGCGCCCCAAGAGGGCCACTTGTCGGCCCAAAGAGGCCCGCAGGACGGCTTCCGGCGGCGCCAGACTGCCCAGGAACACCCTCAGACGCCCAACGAGCCTCTCAAGGAGCCTCCAAGAGGCCCCAGGAGGCCCAAGGAAGCCCCCAAGAGGCCTCCAAGAGGCCCCCAGGAAGCTCCCAGGAGGCCACAACAGTGCCCCAAGACACTCCAGACCTCCTCCTCCTCTTCTTCCTCCTCCTCCTCATCCTCATCCGCATCCGCATCCGCATCCTCATCCTCATCCTCATCCTCTTTCTTTCCCCTCCTCCTCCTCGTCTTCCTCCCCCACTTGCTCCCCGAAGGGTTTGCACAACGGCGGGGGAAGCACGTAGTCTAATAGGTTGGCCGAGCTCTGGCCGCATCGTTTGGCCCCATAGGATCATATAAAAGGCAGGGGGCGAAGGTGATAGGCGTATTCGAACCGCCGCCCCCTGTTAGCATGCCACAGGTGCGGACGGCGTGCTACACGATATGTAGCATGTTATCCCTTTTTCAACCATCCTGTGGTGTTGGGTCCTCGTTTTGAAAAAGATGGTCCCCACAATCCTCCTCCTGCCTTCCTCTGCCCCCCCCCTCCCTTGCCACCGCCCGCATGCGTCAACCACCACCCAGGACAGCCCTCCGTCCCTGCGTTTCACCCACCCAGTACAGCGGTGCGTGGCCCCATAGGGAGCACAGGTCCCAGTGGGACCGCCCGAATGCGTCAACCACCACCCAGCACAGCCCTTCCTCCCTGCGTTTCACCCACCCACTGCAGCGCTGCGTGGCCCCATGAGAACCTCCACCGAAGCACCCACTGGGACCGCGCGCACGCGTCAACCACCACCCAGCACAGCCCTTCCTCCCTGCGTTTCACCCACCCAGTGCTGCGCTGCGTGGTCCCACAAGGAGCTCCACCGAAGTTCCCACAAGGACCGCCCGCATGCGTCAACCACCACCCAGGACAGCCCTTTCCTCCCTGAGTTTCACCCACCCCGTGCAAGGCTGCGTTACCCCATGAGGAGCTCCACCGAGGCCCCCAGTGGGACAGCCCGCATGCGTCAACAACCACCGAGCACAGCCCTTCTTCCCTGCGCTTCACCCACCCAGTACAGCGTTGCGTGGCCCCATAAGGAGCTCCACCGAGGCCCCCACTGGGACCGCCCGCATGCGTCAACCACCACCCAGCACTGCCTTTCCTCCCTGGGTTTCACCCACCCAGTACAGCGCTGCGTGGCGGGGGAGCCCAACCGAAACTCACAAGGGGACCGCTCGCATGCGTCAACCACCACCCAGCACTGCCCTTCCTCCCTGCGTTTCACCCACCCAGTACAGCGCTGCGTGGCCCCATAGGGGGCTCCACCGAGGCACCCACTGGGACAGCCCGCATGCGCCAACCACCACCCAGGACAGCCATTCCTCCCTGCGTTTCGCCAACCAAAACAGCGTTGCGTGGCCCCATAGGAAGCTCCACCGAAGCTCCCAGTGGGACCGCCCGCATGCGTCAACCACCACCCAGCACAGCCCTTCTTCCCTGCGCTTCACCCACCCAGTATAGCGCTGCGCGGCCCCATGGGGAGCTCCACCGAGGCACCCACTGGGACCGCCCGCATGCGTCAACCACCACCCAGCACAGCCCTTCCCCCGTGCGTTCCATCCACCCAGCCCAGCGCTGCGTGGCCCCATGGGGAGCTCCACCGAAGCTCCCACTGGGACAGCCCGCATGCGTCAACCACCACCCAGCACAGCCCTTCCCCCCTGCGCTTCACCCACCCAGCACAGCGCTGCGTGGCACCATAGGGAGCCCCACCGAAGCTCCCAGTGGGACCGCCCGCATGCGTCGACCACCATCCAGCACAGCCCCTTTCCCCCTGCGCTTCACCCACACAGCCTCTACTCTCGCCCCTACCTTTGGCGCCAAAACCGGCAACTAAATCGTCTTCGCGTGGCTGGATAATCTCAGAAGTTTCTTCGTCTTCCGCGCAGCCGTGATTTACCATTTCCTCCACTACGTCGGCGCCAAGTTCCCCCGCGCGGCGCGGATGTCCAGTGCGCGCGGAGGTCGCCGTCACCCCGGGCTTGGTCATCTGTCCGAGCGTCTGCCCACCAAGATGTGTCGCCCCAGCCATACTATGCGTCAAGCCGGACGCGCAGAAACCATAGGGAGCCAACTCTTCGGGGTAGTGCTCCTCCTGCTCATGCCAGCTGACGTCAGCAGCGAGGTAATCTTGCGGTGGCCTAGAGTACCTGGCCTTGCCCTTGCCCTTGCACTTGCAAGGGTTTCGGGGCGTCCACTGAGTGAAGGTGGAGCTGTTGCCCGAGCCTCCTTGTGCCATTTTGGTGGATGTGGATACGACCGTGCTGGAGGATCAAGGCGTCCTTGATCTGGTCGAAATTGGCCACATTGCCCGTTGATGCCATTACCACCTAGTTCTCCGAAGGCAAAAGTCCTGCATGGCCCAAGAGAAGAGATCCTAGCATGTCGTCCTTCATAATGAGGTTCGGATCGAGCTTGTTTCCACCATCGCTTTTCTGCGTGATATGTACGAAACCCTAGACTCACCGTTCTGTCGGGACATTGGTCCGTAGGGTCCCTGACCTACTTGGAAGAGGATGTTGGCTTCCTGGTTCCTGGGCCTTTATGTGAATGAGCAAGGAACGGATCGTCTGTATCAGCAGATCGACGCATGTCTTAGTTAGAAGCGGATCATTGCCAAGATCCGTGCCCATATCGGAAGCGTCGCCTTTGAGGCCCTCTAGCACCTTACTGACGTTCAGCGACAACGCGTTTCAGGACTAACGGAGGCCAGGGCAGCACCCATGCGGAATTCCCTACCATGGAAGCTGTTCACCGTACCGTCATAGATGTAGGAGCACATCTTCGTCTCCGATCGTGTCAGTGAATCGGCATGTGGTCTATAACTAAAGAAAGACAGTGCCATGGTGCAGGCAAGTGCGCAGGCAAGTAGCAAGACAATATACAGCCCCTTTGTGTAAAAGTCGCTGCTCAAGCAAGTACGGAATACGATGTGATGATCGTGAGAATCTCCCTCTGGAGAGACGAGTCCTGCGCAGTGGTGCGGTCGCCGAGGACCGTGTAGCAGGCTCCGCTGCCAGTGTGATGTATGATGCTTGTTGTGCCTTGGCAGTAGGGGCCCCTTGAGGGTCAAACGACAGCGAATGGCGCACGTACGTGTCATGCATAAACACTATATAACACGAACCGAAACCGAAACCGAGTTCCTGTTTGAAGTCGCTTCGCTGTCACCCATCAACCTCCGACCCCCTGGGAGAAACTCGAGAGAAGGGGCATGTGGTCCTGCCAGAGCATGTCTGACCAGACATGCAGGCGCTGGTGATCCTGTCGCCTCTGGGCCCGTAGTGGCCGCACACCTTACGGCAAATGCTGTAAGGGCCCAACTGGCCCCCGTCCACCCGCGGCGCGCATTCAAGTCCAACGTCGCAGTCGTTGGTGAAGTTGTCAATCGAGCCCGTGTCTCCACATGCCTGCCCCTCGAGCCTCGGATGACTAGCCGTGCAATACATGAAGCACTCGCCGAACAACTCCCGGCAGGGCATCGCAGCTCTGCCAGAACACGTCTCGCCGTAATTGCAGGCGCCTGTGACCACGTCTCCGTAGGGTCCAAAGGTGCCACAAACCTGGTAGCAGACACTGTCTCCAGCGCCGCCCACCTGCGGCATGCACTCGAGGCCAACATCACAGTGGCCGTAGAACTTGCCGCCTGAGCCAGTCCCGCAGACCTGCCCTCTCTGGTTGACAGGATCCTCGGTGCAAAACAACGTACAGCGACCAAACGGGCAGGTCGTTGTGACCTTGCCTGCGCATGCTTGGCCAGCGCTGCAGGTGGTGGTCACTCTGTCCCCAGAGGGCCCATAACTCCCACACACCTTGCGGCAGATGCCAGGCGCATCGCTGGCTGGAGACGGCACACACTCGAGTCCGAGGGCGCAGTCGCCGAAGAAGTAGCCATTCGAGGTCCCAACGCCACACGTCTGCCTTTCGTATCTGACGGGCTCGTCGTCGCAATACAGTGCGCACTCGCCCGCCCAAGCTGGACAGGGCCTCGCGGCCTTGCCAGAACAGCTCTGGCCGCCGCTGCAGGCGCTGGTCACTTTGTCCCCTCTGTCCCCGAAGCTGCCGCACACCTTGCGGCAGGTGGATGCGGACCCAGAGCCGCTCGCCGGCGGCACGCACATGAGCCCGATGCCGCAGTCCGAGCCTGCCTGGTCACACTGCTCTCCCTCCTGCTTGCCGGCGTGATCGGCGCAATGCTCGGGGGGACGGAAAGGTGGCACGGGCGCAGGATTAGGTCGGGCATGTCCCCCTACAGAGGGATTTTGGACGAAAAATAAAAAATAATCAAAAAATACCCCCAAATGGCCCCAAAAAACTTAAAAAATCGTCCCCAGACGATTTTTTGCCAATGTTTGAATATTCCTCCTGTAGAGGGACAGGCCCGACTTAAGCGCAGGAGGTGGGGTTGGACAGGCGATCGACGTGTTATTATCCATGCCCTTGCTCACGCCCCAATCCCGCCGTGGGGCCAGAGCGTGGGGGCATGGGTAAGAATGTTGCCCCAGGCGCCGAGCTTTTCGTCCATACCCTGCCCCTCCTGTCGCCCAGTTGTGGGCAGCAGCAGGGATACGGATCGAACGCAAATCGCCGATTCCAGACAAATCGCTCCGAACGGCCCCTGGAAGCAGAAAACGTGAGCATCCAACTGGGATCGTTCCCTGGCCCCGGCCCCCCCCCTCTGCGAGCCCCCGAAATACAGGTAGCAGTCACCAGGCTGCCCCGTGCAGGGCAGGCCGCCCCTGCCGGAGCACGTCTGGGCGCTGCTGCAGGCGCCAGTCACCTTGTGCGGGCCCCAAGACTATACACCACCACCATCCTAATTCCCCTTCCCTTCACCCTCTTCTTCCCCTCCTTTTTCCCGAGAGAGGGAGGGGGTGAGGAAGCTGGTGGTATATATTTTGGGGCCCCGTGCCTTGTCCCCGCTGGGACCGAAGCTGCCACAGATCAGGCGGCAGGTCCCCGAGACGCACGCGAACCCGACGGAGCAGTCGCCCGCACCGCTGCACTGCTGCCCTTCGCCTCGCCCCCTCAGGAGAAGACGGCGATCCCCGCTGGCGCCGACTCCTGCTGCGCTGGCGGCCGAGGCTCGGGCGGCCGGCATGCCGAGGAGAAGGCTAGCCAAGGTCGGCGGCATCGCGGCGACGGGATAGCCAGCTGCAAGGGAGGCCTGAAATTGGCTTCCAACGAGCCAGATCGTGATAGCATTTGTTGCCCGCCTCTCGTCATTCCCTCCTGCTTCCCCCTCTCCAGACTCTCAACCATGCCGATGTTGGACCGCCAGAAAACATGCGCACGCGCATGTTCTGGAGTCCCGTCCGGGGTGCTTGCACACAAACACACACACACACACACACACACATTCTGGAGTCCTGTCCGGGGTGCTTGCAGAGCGGTGGATATGGAGGAAAGATTGTGCTGCCCTCAGAGCCGGGCAAATATCCAGGGAGCCCAGAAAGGACATACGCGCCCAACCACGTACATGAACACTGCCCCCCAGTCCGCGAGACCAGCCTCGTGATACAAAAGTTCGCGAAACCCGTACTCTCGAAACCTACGTGGATTCATGCACGTGTACGTGTACGTCCTTCCTGCGCCAAAGATCTCGGCGCACAGCTCCGAAGCGGCGGATGTGGACGCCATCTGGCAGCAGAGGGGGCGCCCTTCACCGCCCGGCCCTCCCCACCAAGCGGTGCCCACCAAGTGGCGCGTGCGTCCTCCACGGCGGCGCAACGAGACGGTCCGACACCGACGAAGACCCGCCGGCCCTCCCAGGGCCGCAGGGCTGCGAGCGGACGTGCGCAGTGCGCTCTCTCACAGCAATGCTCGCTGGGCACCCTTTTCTCCTGCCACTCTGCCTGCCCCTCCCCTCCCCCAGCCTGCAGTCCACATCCTCCCGCTCCTCCTGCTCAGTTTCTGATGAAGGCCTGCGAGAGGCCTCACAGCTCAGGCGTCGTGTTGTGCTGCCGCTGCGTTGGTTCGGTGGCGTTTCTTGTGTCTTGTCTTGCGCTGCAGTGTTTCCGCGCTATTGTTGCATTTCCTTCGCGTTGTTGCCTCGTTGACATCGCGTTTTGTGGTCTGTTCTGTTGAGTTGGCTGTCGATTTGGCTGACGCTTGTATTGCGCAGCTGCTGCGTTCCAGTGGGTCGCAGCGCATACGATTGTTTCATGTGTGAAAAGGCAAGGTCGATGGTATCTTCTGCTTTTCCACGGAACATCATCCGCAACCGTTTGCAAAACCACAAGTACACAGACCGAAACGGTACCGAGCCTGACCTTGGCACATACGCATGCAAAGAAGCCGTTTGTTGTTGGATAGATGTACCGCGAGGCTACGTGGCATACGACGTAGCCCCTCCTGCGCCAGCTCAAATCTGGACCATTCGGCTGGGATTCGTCAGAGTCAGCTGGGATTCGACCCGCACGCCCCCCTTCCACGCCCACCCCTCATCCAATGCAGCCACACAGCATCTCAAACTCCAATTCAAGGGATGGGGAGGAGGAGGACCAGATGAACCCAAGACGCATTGTTGCAATCAACCCTCCCTCCAAGCTCCCCCTTCACAAGTCCTTAAGAGGGAGCGCGACCCACCGTCCCTGGCCTGAACATATTCTCCAACGGGGAGGATCATAAACTAAAGAAACCCTCCTCAGGGATGGACAGAACCCCCTTTAGCAAAACGTGGTTTAGTGAAAACGACCTCGGGCCCAAACCTGACGGGCGCAGGCCTGGAAAATGACGGCCGCGGCGCCCTCTCGAGAACCGAAAACGGACAATTCACTAATCGACGTGTCAGGGTGGGGGTTCTGTCCACCCCCGACCTTAAGAGGGAGCGCGACCCACCGTCGCTGGCCTGAACAAGTTCTCCAACGGGGAGGATCATAAACCAAAGAAACCCTCTCCCCCCTGAAAAGGTCTGAAACCAGAGGACCACCCGCCCCCCCCCCCCCCGAACTTTCCCCCAAACAAACCCCCCCGCCCCCCGAAGAGCCTAGGATGTCCGGAATCCGCCCCCCGCCATCCCCCAGAAAATTCCACCAGCCCTCTGGGCGTACAGTCAACCAGTATAGTAAGAATGCGCGATAAGGATGCAAGGGCCTTGGACGCCCATTGTGAAGCTTTTCGAGCAGGGCGCGGCCAACGAAAGTGGCCAAGGATGGACTTTGCCCCAAAGTGTACATTGTTTTTTGACAGGGATGGTGGGGGGGGCGCATCGGGTTGGTCGCGCATGCTCTAAATGTGGAGGCAGGGTGCGGTTTGCATTGTTTTCTGACAGGGATGATGGGGGACGGGCCTGCATGGAGTCGGCATGGTTCCGGGTTGGCCGCCGGCCACGTAGGGGAGGGGGTGTGTATTAATGAGGAGCAGTGATGCAACACTCGCCGAAGGGGAAGGAGGGGGTTGGAAGAGGAGCCTCCCTAGATCACCTACAGTCAACCCGCATAGTAAGGATGGGCAACCGATGGGCAACCTTCCCAAGGGTACCCTTGCATCCTTGCCTCTGACAAAAGAAAACAATACAATGTGCACCTCGCGGCTAAATCTGGACCATGCGCGGCCAACCCGCGATCACTGTCAAGTGGTTTTTGACAGGAACGGCGGGGGTGGTAGCGCGTGGCCTGCTTTGCGCAGGCTCACCAGACTGCCATGATGTGGCCAGTCGTCCTCTCCAGAGGATGCAGCCGCAGCCGAAGAAAGAGCTGTGCCGCTTGTGTCGGGTCAGGCAAATTACTGATACTATGAAAAAAGCCGTGGCTTCTCGAGGCCAAAAGGCGAGCTGGCGTGGAATCGTTCTGTCGACTGAATGTCCGTATTGACAGAACTACGCTGGCTGCAGATGTGAGGAGGTGTCGGGGCGAGGTACAATCAGAGCGAGGAGTGAATCACGCGAGCTGCCGACATGCGCAGCATCAAATTAGAAAAAAAATGAATGTGGTAGTTCTTGGGTTGCGGCCCAAGGTTTTTTGGGTATACCCTGAACCACCGCAGTAGCAAGACCCTCGTGCTTGTTGTGCTGTTCTTCTCGGGTTTAGCGCGAACCCTTGTTGTTAAAGCTGTCTGCTCGTGCGATTAAAAGTGTCGCACGGCTGGCCTGTTCAGGCTGGCCTTTTGGTTATTACCGCGTGCCCTATCGGTGGGCCAGGGTTGTCTGGTCGACCATAAACTGTTGAATCTACATTAGGAAGGAAAGTATGGCCGATCAGGGGAATAACAAATATAGGCAATCTAATAATGTAGGTACGGTTGTCAGGTAGCACTTCGGTATTCCACCCCCAACCTGCATCGCCTCCTAGTCCTCCTCCCTTCCTCATCGTGCGGCAAAAAAATGTCGCCAGGCTGGCCAGTTCAGGCTGGCCTGTCGGGCAAGCGTGCCCAATATGTGGCCAGGGTTATCTGGTACACCGTTGATTCTGCGTTAGGAAAGACTGCATGACCGATCAGAGGAGTAACAAGTTTCGGTCATCAAAGATGTAGGTACGGCTGGCAAGTAGCAGTACGGTATCCCACCCCCGACCTAAACCGCCCCCGTCCCCGCACCGACATCCCGCCGTCAAGAGTATGTTTGTTCCTGGCCGGTCGCAACTGTAAGCAAGAAGAAAATGTGTGAGGACGGATACGCCAGCTGGGGTCGATCCCGCAGGGGACCCAAGTGAGCCCTGCATCGTGGTAAAAAATATGGAGATGGGGGCCGAAGATGAACAAATACAGATCGGGGTCAGACCCTGTGGAGGGACCGAAGTGTGCCCAGCATGCGGTGCGAGAGGGTTTTTGTGGTTTACCCCAAACCTGCAAAACAACAATAAAAACATGCAATCCTCGGGCTGCGACCCAGGGTTTTGTAGGAGCACCCCGAATCTGCATTAGGGAGGGAGGTGCCACCAGCGTGTCAGGGCCGCGAGGAAAGAGAAGGGTGCATGTCTCACCAGTTAAAGAAGAAGGCCATGGTAGGAGACCCTTCTCAGAGCGTGATTTCACCGTGCCCCTGCGAGGCTCAAATAAGATCCTGTTACGGTAATCGACGAGGAAGGAGCACTGGAGGTGAATGTCGCGGTGGCCTTTGTAAGGCTCAACTGTACTCCGTCTGAGGTGCACTGATATGTAGGAGTATTGGCGGTGGTGTCACGGTGGCCTCTGTGAGGCTCCATTATAGCCTTTCTGCGACAATCCAAAATGATGGAGTGCTCGAGGTGAATGTCGTGGTGACCCCTGTGAGGCTCAATGATACTCCTTCTGCGGTGATAGGAGTGGTGGGAGCATTGGCGTTATGTGTTGTGGGGGTCTGCTGTTAGATTAGTTCGTGGGTTGATGTGTGTCGGTGCGATTCGTCGGCTTGGGTTTCGGTGGAAACTTGCGTAGCTGTACTTTCTGTTTTGGAGGAGGCTCTTTGAAAAGAGCACCGTGTGGGTGATCGCGTAGGCTGTTGTTGTAAAACTCGTAGCGTGCCTGGTGCGAGCGGAGCCTCTCGATGTAGTTATGGAATGTCGGGTCGCCTGTGTTGTTGATGAGGATGATGCGTCGGTTAAAAATGCGAGCTTACTGGTCGCCTCTCATTCCTGCAGCGTTGTGCGTGGCGAATGCTTGCTGCCATGGTAGGGAGGTATGTGTGTAGTGTCGCGAATGTTTGCGGAGGCATCATTACGATGGGCAGTTGTCTTATCCATTGCTGCGTTTCCAGTGCTGCGTCAGGATGTCTTCTTTGGTGGGCAGATGATAGGTATTTGCAGCAAAGGTGGTGGTGGGTGGGCTGGTATGGAGCGTCTGAAGGGGAACCATTGGTTAATGACTTTGTCGTGTGCAACGCCACTTGCAGTTGTAGTCGAGTCGGTGCGGTTTGGTCGTTGTGTGTGTCCTTTGGTTGTTGTGTGGGTTGGTTGGCACCTGTTGTGAGGTGTGCGCGTGGCGGCTTGGCAGGGCGCGTGCCAGGGGTTGTAGTCGGTGTGGTAGGTGGGGTGGTCTTGTTTGGTATCCTCCTCCTCCTCCTCCTCCTCCTCCTCCTCCTCCTCCTCAACCGCCTCCGCCTCCGCCTCCTCCTCCTCCACGCCTTCCCCCCCCTACCCCTACCCCTCCTCGCACTCCTTCCGCCCCTCCCCCCCCCTCCTCCCCGCCTCCCTCTCCTCGCCCTCCTCCCGCCCCCCTTCCCCGCAACCAGCAGCGGAGGGGATGCCGCACCGCGCCCGGGGGCCTCGGCAGCTTCGGCGACGCCATGGGCGGAGGGACGGCGGGCCCCCCCAGCATGGCGACCGCAGCCTCCGCGGGCGCGCGAGCGGCGGGCGGTGGCCCGGAAGCAGCAGCACCAGCAGCAACAGCAGCACCAGCAGCACCAGCGGGGGGCTCTACGTCTGCGAATGGCAGAGCAGAGGAGGAGGAGGAGGAGGAGGAGGAGGAGGAGGAGGAGGAGGAGGAGGGATGAGGGAGAGGAGGGAGGAGGAGGAGGAGGAGGAGGAGGAGGAAAAGGAGCATGGATGAAATGGGTGAGGACCGAGCGAGGAAAGTTGAGGGCCAGGGTGCGCAAAGGCACCCGCGCTACAGGCATCGTGCTACCAGAAGGAAGCGCCGAAGAAAGAGCGAGTGGGGTTGTTCCAGCCACGGCGAGCCTCGGCCACGAAGAGACTCCCCGACATGGACCTGAGGAACGGGCCGAAGATCAGAGCACCTCTTGAGCCCGAGGCGGTCCTCAGTGCATCGCCTTGGCTGCAGAAAATCAGCGCGGTAAGGAACCCAACCATATGCAGCTCTGAGCACCGCGGTTGTAGGTACCTTCGTCAGTGGAATTCCTTCTGGGACCACGAAACGCGTGAGGGGTGTGCCGAAGTGGGGTGGCAGCATGCGGACGCTGCCAATGGGTCCTTCGGTGGAATTCCCTATGGAGCCACGACACGTGCGAGCGGTGCGATTAAGTGGGTGCGGCGCAACCATGTGGACTGTGCCACTAGGGCCTTCGGTGGAGCTCCCTATGGGGCCACGAAACGTGCGACGGATGTGCCGACGTGGTAGGGATGGGCGCCGCCATGCGGACTGTGACACTAAGGCATTTGGTGGAGCTCCATATGGGGACGCAAAACGTGTGAGGGGTGTGCCGAAATGGGTGCGACGCCGCCATGCGGACTGCGACACTAGGGCCTTCTGTGGAGCTCCCTGTGGGACCACGAAACGTGTGAGAGGTCTGTCGAAATGGATGCGGCACCGCCATGCGGACTGCGCCACTAGGGCCTTCGGTGGACCTCCGAGCGGGGAGACAGGAGGAGGCGGGGAGGAGGAAGGAGGAGTGGGGAGGGAGGATGGACGTCAGAGGAGGGGGAGGGAGCGAGCAGGGAGCAGGGGAGGAAGGAGGGAAGGGCTCAGCTGGCGAAGGCCCACACAGAAGACTCCGGACGGTACGTGGCAAGGCGCAGGGAGAAAAAGCGAGGGCACGGGGCAGTCGTCAGAGTTCCGGCAAGGAGCGGCTCTGGGCGCTTCTGCGGCAGCCCGCGCTGAGCCGCTGGGTGCGCGAGGCCACGAGTGCTGTGAGCTGATGGCCACGCGTGCCAGGTTGGCTATGACATGCTTCAGAGGGGAGAACATGGTAGTGACCGAGCATGGCAGGCTCACGTCGCGATGCGCATCTTTCGAACTTGCATGATCGCGGCCTGCCGAAAGCACAAATCGTTGGACGTCGGCCGAGCCCAAGCCGTGAGTCGATAAAAAGCTCAAGCTCTCAGAGCCTTGGCAGCTGGGCGAGCCCGCGTGGCTGGCCGCAGGGCGGCTGGGCAAAGGCCGCTGTGGTCAAGCAAGGTGCCACGGCGATTGCGGCAGCCCAGATCCGCGCAGGTTTGGTCTCATGCGTATCCACGGGCTGCGCCTCGGCCAGGCTGCCCAGACGTCCACGACTCTCCCCGGTGCCATGTTCTCCGCTGAGGCCTGCCTCGACCGCACCTCACCCCAACCTTCCTCCTTCCATCACCGCCCTCTCCCCTCCTCCCTCCAGTGTCCCCCGCGGGCCCCTCTTCCCCCCTCCCTCACACCTCCGTGCGCATCAGCGAAGGCCCTCCCTCTCTGCGTCCCTCCCTCCCTTCCTCTTGGTGGTTGCCGAAGGTGCCCCTGGCCCAAGGTGCCCCCCAGCTTTTCGTTCAATAATGAAGTCCCTGAGGGCCCTCTGGGCCTCGTGAGGGGCACTCTGGAGGCCATGGGGGCCTCCTTGGAAATCCTGGGGGCACCTTGGGCCAGGAGCACTTCTAGCAACACCCGATACTCTCCTCCATCTCCTCCTCCTCCTCCTCCTTCTCCTCCTCCTCCTCCTCCTCCTCCTCCTCCTCCTCCTCCTCCTCCCTCCCTCCCTCCCTCCCTCCCTCCCTCCCGCGGAAAAGGAGGGGGAGGAGAGATCCGAGGCACCCCGGGGTCAGCTGGGCCTTGGGGGGGTAGCCAGCGGCGATCCCCGGGTGCCAAAAACCTCTGTTCCGCGCTAGGTTGCTAAGGCAAAGGAAGAAGAGGAGGGGGAGGAGGAAGGGGCAATGCAGCAGCGGGGGCGGCCAGGCGGAGGGAGGAAGGGAGGGAAGAGGGAGGAGGGCCGGGGAGCGGGGGGCGGATGGGGTGGTCGAAGAAGCCGTGGGGGACGTCGACGTCGACGTCGTTCGATTACGGGAGGCTCTGGAGAGCTCGATCCTGGCACCCGTCCCTTCGTCAAACCTCATCCCCTCCTGCCCATCCTCGCTCTCCTCCCCCACATCTTCCTCCGCCCTCCTCGATCCCCTCATCCCTTGAGTTTTCTCGTCGTTCGTCCTTCCTCTTCTCCCTTTCTCTCGGTTTCCTTCCTCGCCGCCCGCGCATGGGCCTCCACGCCCAGGAACACCGGCCGTTGGGACGCAGGGGGGGCGAGGACGATGGCGAGGACGAAGACAACGCCGATGGCGGCGACGGCTACAGCGACGACGACGACAACGCCGACGACAGCGTCGGCGACGGCGACGGCGACGGCGACGGCGAAAGCGACGGCGAAGGCGAAGGCGACGGCGACGGCGAAGGCGACGGCGACGGCGACGGCGACGGGGACGGCGACGGCGACGGCGACGCCGACGACACGCTGGAGGTCCGAACGCTCGAGGTCTTGGCCGGTTCCGCGCGGGCCTGCCCAAACGTCGGCGACACCAGAGGGGGTGGCGGCGCCGCGTCGGCAACCTGCGCGGGACGGGCTGATGGGGGGGAGGTCGAAATTCAAGAGGAGGGCGGCACGAGGAGGCTGAGAGGGAGGAAGCGGAATTCATGGACAAGCAAGAAGAAGAGGAGGAGGAGGAGGAGGAGGAGGAGGGGGAAGACGAGGAGGAAGAGGAAGAGCAGGAGGAGGAAAAGGAGGAGATGGATGGTGATGGTGATGGTGATGAGGATGGTCATGCCGATGCCGATACAAATGTCAATACACCAATACCGATGCCGATGCTGCCGATCATGATGGTAGTGACGATGGTGGCGATGGTGATGCAGACGACGATAACGATAATGATGATTCAGATGATGGTGATGATGGTGATGGTCATGATGATGACGACGAAAACGATGATGGTGACGGTGATGTTGATGATGTTAGTGGGGATGATGCTATGGATGGTGATGCTGACGATGAGAACGATGATATCACTTCTCTTCTCTACCCGATGTGATTCCCTGGAATGGAAGTTTGAATCGAGCGCAACGGCATACTGGAATCACGGTCGCGAGGCACAACGAAGCAAAGGCCCCGACGATCCCCGCGCGGAGCCTTCGGCACACTCCAAGGTGACAAGATGCGTCGAGAGGGCGGAATCTACAAAGTCACGAAGCACCGGCCCCCACACAAGCACGGGAGCGGCCCTAAAGGCACGGGACTTCACTGCCCACAGGCATGCAGGGCACATCCAGGCGTCTGGACGTCACCCACTGTTGCAAAATCCAGCGGCCGAAAACAAAAATCCCAAGAAGTTCACGCGCTCGCGAAACATCTCTCGAAAACACACACTAGAAAGCGAGAGAGGCGGAGCGTCGGGATTAGCCGAGAGGCCTCTCATATGGTCAGCTGGACCATCTCTGCGACACTGTCCTCCACCGACCTTCTCTCCTCCGCGTCTGGAATCACAATGATCTCTGCTGTCTACTGCTGCTGCTGCTGCTCCTGAAACTCCCCGAGTTTCACCAAGCCTGCGACTACCTTGCGAATGTTGGGATTGCGGGGGGGCGCACCTCTCTCGATCTCCACCTCGGGCTTGAGAGCGATGTTCATGATCTCCGTCATCACAGCCCTCGACTCCGGGATGACCGGCAGCTCGATTTTGAACGTGTCCGTCCCCCCAGGCCGTCTGCCGCTACGCTCTCTTCTGGAAACACGCGGTAACTTGGCCTCCGACCGCGCCGAGGTTCGACTGGCTGGCGCGGCACGCGGTCAGCGCCTTTTCCTTGCCCCCTGGAACCGATTTATCATGTTCCACACAATTCGCAAGCTCGATCCACGCGCGAAAATGTTTCTGAAAGTGCCCATTCTCCTGGTGACAACGCCGCTTGCTTCTCGGCCTCGCACTGCTTGGCCCCTTTCACGATCGGCTCCAGGCACGGGCGCTGTTCTCCCACGATCGCGATTTGACCCAGCACCCCCTGCAACCTCCTGTTGGCCACGTCGAAGCACACGCGCTCTTGGCTGCGTTAATGGCCAGCCCCCGCGCGGCCTGACCCACGCTCGCGGATCCCGCCGCGCGATGCCCGGCTGCTGGGGTCGCAGACGGGAGCGTCGTCAGCTCGCCCATCCAGGGCTGCAACGCCACGAAGGCACCGCCCACGAAATGCGAGCGAACATAAGCGCGCAATTCGGGTAGCGAATCAAAGGCGGAAGATGCACGGAGAAAGCAAGTACTCGACAGTCTCCGGGGCACGACGTTTTGCCGGGCCCGAAATGGCCGAGACCCCTCTCTCAGGGCAACACGGGGGAATCTCCCGCCCTCGAGCCTCAAGACGCCGACGGACGGTGCCCACGCCAGAGAAACAACGCTCGCACGAAAAGCACGGCTTACAAACGGCCGCCTGTCTCCACCGAGCACGAGCATGGCGATGACGGGCTCGACGCGCTTTGAATTGCCGAAGGGCATGACATGTAGACGTGCACCTGCACGCCGTTTCCTCGACGAGATCACGCGCACATGCCACGGGGCCGTTCAAAATGCTGAATTGAGGCTCGGGAACTGAAACCGAGGTCTGTCGCCGCGGAAGATCGCGACGATGTCGAAAGAAACGAAAATCTTATTCGAAAAATCCAGAACACCCACGCCCGTCAAGAAATTCCCGACCTCGAGATTCCATTCTTCCCAGGGCCGAAAAAATTCTGCCCCGCGGCTTGAACCGCGGATTTGCGCGATGGGTCAGTTTTCCCCTGGAGGCGATCTGTCTACGCCCCTCGCCGAAACGACCAGCGAGAGCAGCCAGGAGAGCAACGTTATCTCGGGGTCGTCGGGCTAATCTCTGGACCCGCGCTAATCGCCGACAACGCGACGCTTTCTCGGCCGCGGGGATCGCCAAGTCGGAACGCGCCTGTTCGCGCGACACGGCACGGCACCTGACGAGAGCACCCTGGTCGTCGCATTCCTTGACATTTGCGCCGTCCATCAGCAGCACGCGACCATGAGTCTGCACAAAACTGCCAATCTGATCGCACAACTGGCGGGTTGGAAGCCACGCCCCCCCCCCCCCCCCGAAAGATACGAGTTGTAAACCAGGCCAAGAAACACAGGACGTTCATCGGAATGCCATTCTGCCCCCAAAAATGCCCCACCGCTGCCCCCACGCTCCTCGCCACCTTCTGCCTCTCCCCGCACGAACGATAGGCCCCTAGATATCGAGCCAATAACTTGGCCTCGCCAGGTAGCCGCAGCCGTCGGCAAAACACCTTCATCTCGGTCGGGGCCCTCTTCCCGCGCTGCCGAATATATATATATATATATAATATATATATATATATATATATATATATATATATATATGTGTGCAAACTCTGTTCAGGGGGTTCGCCTTGATCTGCTCCGAAAAAATGCCCCAGCATTCGAGCCTCCGCGCGGCCTCGCGGCCCCCTTCGGCATGCCCCGATCTCCCTGCGCCGTCGGCATGCGCGCCGTAGTCAACGGCAGCTCGGGAACAAATGGCCTGCGACCATAGAACTGGCGCACCTGCTCCGAGCGAGCCCGTTCAACCCACTCGCCCACGGCAGGATCAAACACTTGCACTACGCGACCGGGCGCAGACTGATCCCCACGCAAGTCCCCACGCACTAACACGAACCAACTCCACTCCCCCGAGTCAGTCTGCACCAAAGTCATGGCGCGCCGATGTCAACCGACCACGGGCGCAGCGCTCGCCGCATTCAGGGCCCGATAGATCGCGGAGTCAAGAGTGGAGCGAGACACTGAAGCGAACGCGTTGGCCCAATCATAGACCGCACTGAACTTGCCCAACGCCTGTTCGAACATCTGCCAGCGCACGAGCTCGCGTCGCAGGATAAGCAGTTCCCACCTCTGGCCCCAACGAAAACCCACGCCGCGATGCGTCGCGCAACCTGACCGACGCTTCCAAACAGCACCGACGAAAGATTCACCTACGGTGTCTAAGAGATGAATCGGACCCTCGCCCGTAGATGCGACACTTCTGGCGTTCTTGCCGGCCCGACACCCCCGACTCACATTCTGGAAGTTCGGAATCGAGCCGGCCCCGCGGATCGCCACGAGGAACCGCTCAAACAACGGCGCAAAGGATCCGAGGCGCTCATTCGGACCGCCCTCGACCGAGAGAGGGGCAGCGAGAGCTTGATCCCATGAGTCGCGAGGCCCAGACCATTCGGGCACGCCTTCCGCGCTTTGCCCTTCAGAATCCCGCACAAGAGCCCGCGGAAATCCTCGCCGCTCGCCGAAGGAGCTCCAGGCGCGATCTGAGGAAGCGGGACATGCTCGGGAGAGGAGGAGGGAGATGCCGAGCGAGCGGGAAATCCCCCGCCACTGCTAAGAGCGGCACACTGACGATATCGGCGCACAAGATCATGAGACAGCGAACGCGAAGGCGTCGTCGGAAGCGGCCACAGAGCATACGACCACAGCCCCTACGCCCCCTTCGGGGTGCTGATCCCAATCCCTTATTCGGCGGCACAGAGGCGAAAGCATTGCATTGTCTTCGCTCGGGCCCAAGACGGGCCCCAGCGATCAGGCGAGAAAGCTGCCGCGCCATGCGACCGTCGCGGGCGCGCATGGCAAGATTGCGCCCCCGAACCCACCCATCCCGCCGCCGCCTCACATCCCGTCGTTTCTAGCGCCGAATGCGCAAGCCTAAGCTCTTGATGACTTCACCTACAGCCTGGCGAGCCTCACCCTCTGGGCTCTCAGCAAGCAATATGCGCAACATACGATACTCCCGTCTCGCTGTGCCCGCATCCTCGGGCTCCGCAGCAATCGAACTAGGCGGGGGGGGCTCGGATTGGATTCGCGCCAACGTTCCGTACTACCTCGTTCAGTTGGTGCCAGCTCCCGTCCACGTCCTTCTGCTCGAAGGCCGTCGCCATGAGAATTGGGTTGTCTGCCTCCGTCGCCCTATCGTCGAAGCTGTGTGCGAAAGTGAAGTACATGTCATGTTCCGTCCCTCGTGTTGCGAGAATACGGTCGTGATCCCATCGCACACGAGACTGATGAGCCAACTAGGAAGTTGCAGGTCGACAACCAATGGCGCGTGATCTGCATTCGTAGGAGCTTGGCCCGCCAGCTGCAGTTTGTATCCCGACCGTCTCAAAACCTGACAGTTGGACTCAAGCTGGAGAACATCCTGCGGCATGGCGATGTAGCCAACCATCGTACGACCTTGGCCCTTGAAGAAGGTGGGCCCACATCCTGGCTCGACCTGTGTATTGACAGGTACCATCCCATATCGATTCAGCAAATGTCGGCACTGAATGCCGTTGAAGTCCTCCTGATCGACCCCGTAGTGCCCAACCGCATCTCGGTCTCGATACGTGGGCCATTCCGATCTGATTTGTTCAAGCCCCACATGGATATTACCATATATCAGCACAGCCGGTGTACACCGAGTCGGGACCTCACGTAATACAGAATCCATGCACGAGGTAAGTCGCCGTAGCATGTTTCTCTCGCTCTCGTCCTTTGGAGAGGGGTAGACAATACGATGTG